GGGCGATATTCTTCCTCTTGTCTAGCATTCTCATCTTTAGAAACTTTGGCCTTTAGGTAAAACATCGCATCTGCAAAGTATGTCTCGGTTTCTGTGAATGGAGTTTCATCGGCCGCTACCTTCTTTACAACACCATTTTGCTCATACATGAAGCATTGGTGCCATGTTGAAGGAATTACACCGTTCTCATGGATCCATGGGCGGCCCAGAAGAAGATTATATGAAGCCTTTGCGTCAATGACATGGCACAGAGTGCTTGCCTTCAGCTCGCCAATGACCAAATCAAGACGTATCATTCCAATTGCCCGTTGCCCCCCTTGATTGAAGCCTTGAATCATCAAGCGGCTTTGGGAGAGTTCATCCATTGATATATCAAGGTCTTTCATAGCTCGAACCGTCAGAATGTTAACGGCAGACCCTTGATCAATCATAATTCTTTTGAATCTTTGTCCACGAGTGTATCCTTCGACAAAGAGTGGACGATTATGAGGGGTTGCGCCCAACATGAGATCTTCATCTTTAAAGACAATATCAGTGGCAAAAGAGGTTGATTTGCGCACTTTTGTTTCTTGTTGCTCAACCAAAGATCGAGATGCACATATGTGTGAACTTTCAATCTCTTTTTCATGAGTGCTAAGGCAAGAATTTGAAAATTGATTTATCTTGTTCTTGAAATTCTTTGGCATGTAATCATCTAGAGTAACTGGCCTTCGCACAATCTTGGAACAGACATCAATCTTTCTTTCCTTCTTTAGCTTGAGTTTATTTTCCTTCCTTTTCTTGATCCATTTCTTCACTTCCTTCACTGGGGACGAGATCAACTTGTGCCTCTTAATTTGTTTATCTCGAGCTACTAAGATCCATGGACCTTCTTTGCCATTATTTTCTTCATCTCTCACACTTTTGTTGAAAGGAGAGTCATTTCCCATCTGTTTGACAGTAAAAGGAAGTCTTCGATTGTGAGAGCTCTTGCTCTCTTCTTTTGAGTCATCTTTGACTATGAGTGGAGAAAACTTACCAAAAGTGATGGCAATTTGGTTTGTGCTTGCAGCGGAATCAGCGAGCTCAATCTTTCCTTCACGAGAAAGAGCCATAACTTTATCTTTAAGCACCCAACACTTCTCGGTGGGGTGACTTAGAATTCGATGATACTTGCAGTAGTTGGGGTCATCAACCTTTGTAGCTTCCTCGGGTCGTTTGGACTCGGGCAAATCAATAAGCCTCAATCTCATCAGCTCCTCAAACATGGGAGGAACGTCAGAGTCTAAGAAAGGGTACTTATTTTCCAACATCTCTTCTAGAAATGATTTAACACGTTTTGACGCCTCCAAGTCGACCCTAGGAACTTGCTTCGAATTTCGAGTGAAGATCTTAACAGGTGCAGTCTTCGCGACCATTGCTTCTTTCGTTTCAAACTTAGAAAAGGGCTTGCCCCCATTCTTGGTATCTTGTTTTTCAACAACATCGTTGATGGGACATATACCCATGGTTTTCCTTCTACTGCTTGCAATGCTTAGTTCCATGTTACGAGCTTTGCTTGCTAGCTCGTCAAAAGTATTTGGATTCACTCCTTTGAGAATGTAGCACAACTCCCAATGCATTCCTCCTATACTGACATTCATGTTATTTCCGTGTTTATAATTGTGCTTTTGATTAGTTTTGAGTGATTGTTACTCTAGAAATTACACACTTTTGGTGTAATAGTTTAGTTTGTAAAATGTTTGTAAATTGTTTAGATTAGGTTTGTTCTGAGCTCAAACAGGTCCAAGACCACTCTAGGGACCATTGGTGAACATCACAAGTGGAAGGAAGGTGCAAAAATTCCAAAACAAAATGAAGATCCTTATTTTTGGTGTTGTACCCGGTCGAGTATACCCTATACTCGATCGGGTAAGTTGCTGAAAAATCAAATCGGATAAATCCGCGAACAAGGCAACGTGCAGGGAAGATTTTAACCACGATCGAGTGTCTATACCCGATCGGGTAGCCGACATACCCGATCGGGTATGCCCATGTTTTTCCAGCTTCCGCGAAGCAACTGAAGGCCCGATCGAGTACCCAATATACCCGATCGGGTACATGACCCTGCAAGCCCAAAAAGCCTATAAATACACCCCATTTCCTCCACAATAAAGAACCAATTCATACACACTTCTAAGCTCAGTTTAGACAAGTTCTTTCTTTATATTTTCTTCATGTTTAGTCTCCAAATGAGGAGCTAAACTCTTCCATCTTGGTTTTGCTACTTTGAAGCTTAATGATTTGTAAGTTGTGAGTTATTTTCTTTAATCTTCTTCCTTGAATATTAATTACTTCCTATTCATATCCCATATTAATATATTGAGCATCACTTAAAGTATCAACTAATCTTGTTCTATATATTAATTATTACTAGAATCAATCGGTTAATACGCTTGTTATTAATTCGGTTCTTTCAATGGTAGTAAACATGGATTGCTAATGCATGCTTCTCATGGTTAATAATCTAAGGGGAATTATTTATATTGATTAAACCAATAAACCGCTTGTGTTGAGGTTATCAATCTCAATCGTTTTCATCTTAAGTTTATTGCTACTATCAATTTAATATACGGCGCTTGTCCTATATTGACTCGACAGTAAGTTTTATTAATGAACGCATCTCGTTATTAATAACTACCCTCGATGAACTGGATATACTCCTCGATTGAGTATTCGAGAGGAAGATAGTTAAAGATATAACCGGGATCGACGAACATTTCATTAAGTGGATAAAAGCAAAGCCAAGTCTTCTTCTCATTAATTAAACCACATAACTCGTTCATCTTCGTGTTTCATTTATTAAACCAAATCAAACTAAAACCCTCCATTTTGTTACTAGTTCTATAAAAAGAGAAGTATTCCTTTCCCTGTGGATACGAACCTTACTTCGTTATACTACGTATAATTGTTGTATTGTATTATTATTTTGAGTGCACACCACGACAAAAGTGCACGTCATATACACATATCGATGGCAGAGCTTGTAGAGATCTGATCTTTATAGCTGAGGGCGAGATCTCTCCAACGTTCTATGTAAGATATCACAGGCTCATCTTTCCATTGGCGAGTAGTAGTCAACTCGAACAAACTCACCACCCTCCTTGTGCTATAGAAACGGTTTAAGAACTCATGTTCCATATCTTGCCAGTTGTCAATGGAACTGGGCTCCAGGTCAGTATACCAGTCGAAAACGTTTGCTTTCAGGGAACGTACGAACTGTTTGACCAGATGATCTCCGCTTGTTCCCGCATTATTGCAATTTTCCACGAAATGGGCAACATGCTGCCTTGGATTTCCCTTCCCATCAAACTGAATGAACTTCGGCGGTTGGTAACCAATAGGCATCTTTAGATCCTCGATCCTTTGAGTGTATGGCTTAACATAGGAGTAAGTAGATTTGCTTCCTTGTATCTTCCCCTTTATGGTTCCCATGATGAAGTCTTTAAGTTGATCAATCGGGATCATGCCCCTAGAGGTTGAGATATCCTTCCCCGAATCTTCTTGGTGAGGATCATTCTCTTCATGCATTTCGGGATCCTTTTCATGAGTATGACTTGACTCACCTTTCAAGCTTTCTACTTTGTTGTTCAGATCATTCAACTTTTGGTCTTGAGATTGCATGAACGTACTCATCCCCTCGATGACCTTAGTTAGATGGGCGATTTGTTCTTCCATAGATGTGGTGCTTGTCGTCATAGTGGGCATCACAGTGTAGACGTTTGACCACTGCGGAGTAGTTCTTCGTGGAGGAGTTGACGGGGGAATAGAGTCTGATCCAGATGATGAGCTCTCACTGATATTCATGTAATTTCCAATTGTATATTTGTATTTTTAACTAGTTTTTATTAGTTCTAGTTGTGAAAATTACACACTTTTGGTGTAATACTTTATTTTTATTTTTTATTTGTAATTTAGTTAGATTAGGATTTTTCTGAGCTAAACAGGTCAAAGATCATCTAAGGGATCAAGATTGGACCTTAAAAGATCAAGGAAAGTGCAAGGAGACAAGAAAGATTTCGATTTGAAAAAAATACTTATGTACCCGGTCGGGTATTGCCTATACCCGATCGGGTAATTGCTTGATTCGACTGTCCAAATCAAATCCGAAGACAAATGATCGTGGGAGCAAATTTTCATAAAGATTTGTCACATACCCGATCGGGTATATACCCTTACCCTTAATAGCTAGAAAAATCAGCACTTATATAATGTATCTGGACAGCCTTTGTAACAAGGTTCGCAACCATTTTCCATGCACACAGACGGATTCCTTAACCAGATTCGTTGTCTTCTTTATCAATTGGATCATGTCTCTTATGTATCGGGCCACTATTTAATAATGGGCTCAAAATCAAGAAATTAATAGGACCCGTCCATTCTTTTAAAGATTTAATTTATAATTAAATTAATTGGATATTTCGAATGATCCAAATTAATTAAATTAATAAATTTTATCCCAAGAAATTCATATCACTATTTTCTTCTTGATAAGACCCGTCCACAGGACTAATTACTGTCATGTTTTGGCAGTACCAGGCTTCAAACATGGCAGTATTTTCTAAATTTGGCAGTAATTAGTCCTATTTTGGGAATAAAAACATGACAGTCCTATTTTGGAACTTTCAAACTTTTTTAGTCCCATTTCGGGAACTTTCCCATAAACTATCTACGCCTCACTAATTTTACCACTAATGTGATTTTAATTGAATCTATCTAACTTTTTTATGCTTTACAAATTCAACAGAAAATACGGTCTTATTCTTCTTTTAAAATATCCGATTTCATCATGTCATAGTAGAGTTAGCGAATAAGTACAAGAATGAAATAGTTAATGAGCTAGGTTAAGAGACAATAGAAAAAAATTAATATAAAAAAGGTAAAAAGAAATATATGACGTAATAAACCACAAAAAAACCCTTGAAAAGAATATGATATACATCGTATTAATAAATATGAAGTAATAAAGATGGAGGAAATACCTTTGACTTTGGGTCTTCGGGAAACATGGGTTTCTTTAACCCTTTCTGACCGAAGGAATGGCCAAACTGTGAAGTGACCACATACCCATTAGTGGCCGCTGGGGTAGGCAATGCATTTATCAGTTGTTGCCTAAAATCTACAAAAACGTACTTTTCGTTAATAAACAGCATATGCTTATAAGAGTATAAAATTTTATTATTTTTAACTTAAATATAAATGTTAAAATTATACTACGTACAATATACTCCGTATATGTTTAATTATTGTGTACTATTTCTTTCCTATAATTTAGTAATCACTTTCTTGGTCAAAATGTAACATGTTAAAACTTCTAAGACTTTACATATAAATGATATAATTGTATGAGGAATTATGTATTATGATCTCTCCATCTCATTTTAGTTAGTTACTCCCTCTGTCCCATTTTATAAGATACCTTTACTATTCACTTGGTCAACACAAATCACTCTTAATCTCTTACTTTATACATCAAAATTTTATGAAATTTGAATTATTTTTTGCAAGTTTTGTAGCGGGTTTAATGTAGTTTCTGAATATGTAATTTTTTTATATAAAAGTAATTTGAGTGCATACAGAGATCCGTTTGCTTTATCGTCGGTCGAACATCGTAAACCGAAAAATATCTTATAATTCGGGACGGATGGCGTATTTTTTACATTTTCAGTCAAAGATTCTTTGCTTTGGCCGATAACGTATTTATATACAAAAGTATTTAAACTATGAAAATGCTATCATAATGGTATAAAATTTATTATTATCGCTAAAATATAAATGTTAAAAAGGGTAACCAAAGTTTATCAACAATGACTAGAGTAGATATAGAAAAATTAATAATGACTAACTAAAATGGGATGGGGTAGTATGAAAGTGATGTGGATATAGTAGTATTTAGTTATTTACTACGGTGTAATATACTTCCATGCATAAAATACTACATCATGTAACTTTCGAATTTAGTCTAAAATGGTAAATTTCCATACAAAAGTCATCATTCACGAATATAGTCTAAAATGGTAAACTTTTAAGGGACGTATATAATTAAGTACTGTATGCACAGTTGAGCACATTTTAAACAAACTCAGGATTTAAAAACGTATAAACGCCAAACAAACTCCAAATAAGGCTAGACTCCAAATAATATATTGGTAAATGTCCCACACCGGAAACATTTGGATGAACAAAGTGCTATATTAACACACGGGCTACTCCTCCTATCAGGTTGACCTTTTAGGATGGAACCCCGAGTCTTAACATATATTGAGAACAATTTCTAAAAAAATAACGTATAGTATACGAAAATGAGTTTGATATACTCCGTACTATATATTACACCCTAATTTATGATTTTATATTTAACCGATATGACGCTTTTAAGTTGAAGAATATTAAGAGCTCGTTTGGTAGCACGAAAATCGGCTGTTTTGGCTGATTCTGCTGAAATTTATGAAATTCTGGCTGAATTGGCTGTTTTGGCTGATTCTGCTGATTCAAGAAAAAAATATTTTAAAAATATATTTTATTAATAAATTATAGAAAAATTTACATGTAAAAATAGCTAAAATAGTCCTTTACAGTAACTTCAGCCAATACAGCCAGAAAAGTAACTCCAACCTTACTTTTTCTGCTTATTACACAATTCAGCACACAAAAGTAAAAGTTACGTGTTTGGTGAAAAAGCTTGTTGATAAGCCTGATAAGCCGAAAAAAGAGGTCTCCAAACGGGCTCTAACTATTTCGGTGTCAAAGCTTAAAGTGTGTCTAGCATTTCCAAATCTTGTAATAAACTAATAATAAATTACTTAAAAGAAGGATTAATTATAGAAGGAAAATGCAAAGAATACATGGATTAATTATGGATGCATTATATATAATTCACTTGGATTAAAAATAATAACATGTACAAATTACATATGACAGTACAAAAATACATTGTAAATGTTTGGAGTAATTTTTAAAGAGTACATAATTGAAAATAAAAACTTACCTTTCAGCAATTTCATTTCACTTGGAGTCTCCGTATGATTCATTATCCGATCGTGTAAGCTTTCAGAGAAGGCAGTCCGTATCTATGGAAAAAATCGTGATAAAAAATATTTAGTTTTTTGGTAATCTTCAATTATAAATAGTTACACATAACTGAGAATAAAACCCTGTCGCAAAATTAAATAAATTACTATAAAACATAACAACAATAACAATAACAACAACAATGACAATAATAATAATAATAATAATAATAATCCAAGCAATCATAATAATACTAGGTAAATAATACTGTGCACGTTGCGAACCTGATATGCATCAAAGGCCGAATTCAAAAAGTAAATTGGGGATTTTATGTACTTCACCAAGTGTTTTGGAAAGAAGCACTGCACATCAGAGTTAGTATAATTGCATACTTAATCATATAATTCTTCAAATTAATGGAATTCAACTTTGAAGTAAAGAATATATATAATTTGATGTACCGATAATGCACTTCGATTGGATATGCACTCGGCCGGTAGTGCCTTGGCGCTTTGCTGCAACCCATGTAATATTCCAGATTAAATCTACTTTCATGTGGGAATTTAGTTTTTTATAGAAAATGTGGGAATTTAGTTAATTACCTGCAATTCAACAACTATGCCAAAAACGGTCTTCATGAACTGGGCATGCTTGGGATCCCTCCTGCAAATACAAAACCATAAACATAATTAATTAAGTTAATTCACTTAATATATATACAAAAAAATGAAAAAATACATTTCTAAACACTTTAGATTGACGTATAACGTATTTATATCATCTTACAGTTTTAGAAAAAAAGAACTATTAATGTAGCACTTGACGTTCACAGTGGGATGGAATAGGCTGCGAAAATGATCGCAATGAATCATCGCACCTATTCCCCCTGCAGAACCTCCAGCAAGGATCACCTGTTGCAAAATTAAAATTTATATATGCATGTGAAAATATTATTAAATCAGGACTTTAATTATCAAATTCAATTAATTATAAATTAATTAATAAAAAAAGTCAAAGTTGAGAAATTTACATTCCGGGCATCTTGCATGCCTTTCGCCATTAACTCAGTAATGATAGCTTTATATATTCTTGCCCCTCGGTAGAAGAGCTTAGTTTCCTAATACAAAAAAAGTGAATCTAATTTAAATAATCGCAATATAATTCTATATAATTCAAGGAAACAAATAGAATGCACACCGGGTCAGGTTCGTCGACATCACCGGAGAATGACCCCCCGTCGCAATATCTTACGATGACCCGGTTCCAATTATAGAAGTAAGTTTGGTTTTCTTCATCACTAAATATCCCCGTAAACGGGAAATCACCCATGTGGAAGGAAGATCCGATGTCCAATGTGGCGCGCGCAGTGCAGCTGTCGGCGTACGCCTCCGTGTGATTCTCGTATACGGTGCTGTTTATACACCATCCTCCTCCCTAATTTAGAAAAAATCTCAAATCAAACTTGCTCAGATCAGAAAACTGTATATAGTCTTTAACTCAGTTTACTTAGATAGCGTTGACTTAAATGAAATACTCCGTATAACTATATGTTGATTGGCAAACATCAACAGATCTTGCAATTTAATTTATACTGCGTAAAAAGTGGAACTTCTCCTACCTCGCATTTCATGCATTATTTCAAATAGTCGTCTCACATACTTCCTCCGTTCCCTTTTAATTGCAACAGTCAACATTTCACGTTTGCCAACGCACAAGTTTGACCATTAATATCTTTCATTTCTTATTAGATAAAAATTTTAAAAAATCATATTTTGAAAATTTAGAATAAGAAGAATTTAATAATATTTTTTAAAATTTTAATTTATAATACATTGATTAATAAAATATAGTCAAAGTAGAATATGTGAATAGTGAAAAAAGTCCAATGTTGCAATTAAAAGAGAACGGAGGTAGTATTTATTTATTCAAAACAGAATAAGTTAAGGGAATTTCTACGGTGCCTTCAAACAATATTGATGTACCGGTACATTAGCCTCCATAGCCAATCAGATTCTATTCTGAAGCCATGTTTTATTATTTGCACCATACTCCCTGATAAATAAATTCCATATTTCAACATTTGTTAACTCCTCCGTCACTCCCATCAGTTCCCCGCAACCTCTATTCTACGTCAAAACAAAAACATGAAATCAGGATCCAATCAAACACCTACGTGTCGCAATGGATGACAGCCATTTTTTAAAATTGAAGGATTCACAAGTCACAACCATCGTTTGCCAATCAAACACCTACGTGACTTGTTCAAAACAGAGCATAAAATGATTTCCATCGTTTCTCTGTAAAAAAGATTAGAAGATGGAGCCACAAGGCCCACAACCCATAACAAAAGATGCTTGTCATCCTTTCTGTGTTGTGAGCCTAGTTCACAGATTGAAAGCACCAAATCACACAAAACAGGCGGAGTGATTTTTGTGTGGAACTGACGGAAGTAACGTGTGTAATGGAGCATCCAATCGTTAGCAAACTTTAAATATTTTATTTATTTTTTAGGGCCTAAACTGCAAATAATAAAATTTAGTTTAGTAATATGAGTAGATCCTAACGTGGCTTCCTACTCTAATGTGATTGGCCAAAATGTTAATGCACCGGTACCTTCTTTAAACGAAGCGAATTACATTTCATTTATTCCACTAGCTGTTCTAACACCGTATGTAATTTGGTGGAAAGCTTATTAAGTGGGCAAGGGAATGCAATGAATTGCAAAACAAATACTGGTGCTTATTTCATAATTGTATCGGGAGCATGCTATTTATACGTCGAAAAATGATTACTACTAGTCTCTATACTAGGTTGCAAAGGGTATTGACTAGGTCTTTGACGTATTGCCGTGTTGATAAGTGTAGGTACGTAGTATTACCCGTTCTTAAATAAATGAAGTTTTATACTATTCACATGTTCTACTTTGACTACGATTTATTTATTAATGTATTAATATTATTTTATGAAAAACATATTTTTAAAATTGTCTCATGGTATATTTTCAAAATCTATTTTTTAATTTTTTTTACTAATACAAAATTATATATATTTATGGTCAAAGTTGTGTCTCGACAAGTATGAAATGTTGACCGTTGCATTTATTTAAGAATGAATGAAATATTACTGAGTGAATGTAATACAAGTTGTGATAATTCCACTTAAAAAGTCTCGCAAAATGAAATGTAAAGTCTGTTTGGTCCCAAATAAAGCAAAAAAGCTTTACTAGTTACAATAAATGCAACCACAGCGGTGCCTCTACCACAAATGTGACCTTTTTTCTATACTTGGCTTGTTGTTGGGGTTCTAAATAAACGTAACAATACTGTACTGACTCCTCTCATTTAATACGAAGCATTTGTTACTTTGCTCTTTGCTTTGTCCCAAAATAAATATTACATTTAATTTTTTTAAAAATGTTTGTAGTCATTACTTTCAAATCTTAATGATAAGTTTTCCATTTTCAACTGCTTTATTAATAATTGTATAAAGTCAAAGTAGTACACATAAAATGAGACGAAGATAGTAACACTTAACACTTTGTGTAACTATGTACATTTGTTCCTTATAAAAATATAAGAGTGTCAAATCCCTCTATGTTATAACTGATGGTGCTTCAAATCCCTTCAAGAGCAAAATTAAATACCAAATAAAAGACAAACTATCAGTATTTTGTACTACGTACAATTTAGAGATTTTGATAAACTTTCATATGTATTCAATTATATATAATATTAAGATATATAAGTGATTCCAAATTATTAAAGTTGTTCTTGGCCGGAATGGGTGTGTTGCATTTTTTAATCATAAAGGATTAATGTGCGTAATTTGTACTTCGTATAACACGAGTTCCTTTGTGCATTAAACTCTTTGTTGTGACTATCATTTTAGTAATTAAAATTAAATATGATACTCTCTCTGTTCTTTTGTTAACTATAAATATATGGAAGTAATTATAATATGAAAGTGATATGAAAATATTCCTTGTATAAATTTATAAGTTTTGCAAAAATATGCATAGTATTAATTAAAATGATTGACCAAAATTTGAAATTATTTTCCATCACTTGCAATGGAGCCAAAGATTCATTATTTTTTGGTTTGAGAATATGATGTAATAAAGCAAAATGGCTCAATAAACTGTCTGCGCTTCTTTATTATGAAGCAGCAGTCAATCCATGTAAGTTTGGACGCGATTTTCATCATGGGTCATCCGGAAACAGTCTCTATGTGCTTTAGTACAGGGGTAAGACTGCGTACATCCAACCCCCCTTACCCCACCGTAGGTGGGAGCCTTTGCGGCATTGGGGTAAATGAAAATGATCAAAATATAAAATTATTGATTAGAAAAGTAAAAATGACTAACTAAAAAGATTTTGAAAAGACCAATTCCTCCCTAGCTAAGACTACGTAAGAAATTATGAAAGGGGAGGTGATGGGCTGCTAGGAATGTAACTAAATAATGGAGCTTGGGTTACCACTAATATAATGTTCGGTGTACTTAAAATACCTAGTACGGAGTATATGCTAAAGTAATTTGGAACAATGAATTCAACTTTTTAACCACTAAAACCAACATATATGCGACGCAAAAAATAAAAACACCATGTTTTATTTTAAAATAAAGTCAAGTAAACATAATGATCATTAAAAAAAGTACATGAATTAGCGCATTAGGAACTTGATAAGGAAGAAGTTGATTATAATTTTTACTTTAATTTCCACAAAGTTTTGGTAAAATGGTAAGTAATTAAAAGAACTCACTCCCAGGTGAACCAGCCAATTGCGGGCACCAGAACCGCTTCCTGCATCCCAATGGTAAGCGGGTGGGCTTCCGTCCAAACACACTATAATCATGACCATTATAAATCTTGTATTAGATACTTATTATATACTTCGTATAAGCTATAAGAGTATACATATATGGAATTATTATGTAGTACGGAGAAGTGTTTATATATGTTGTTGCTTAGTTATGCATAAATTATGAATAAAAATGATGCACATTTTAATCAAGTATTTTACCGGCTCCATCGGCCACAGCACTCTTGATCAAAGTTATGGTAACGTTCTTATCGGCCTTTGATGGGCCAACCATCAAGACAGCACAAAGGATTAAGCACCACAGCATTTTTGTTGGGGTCTCCATTTAAGCTGCAAGAGTCAAAGTAAACCGCAGTAAATATAATACCTCCAAGTGGCCGGGAGTATATATATTCTTTATGAAAAACGTAACACTACTATATATACGTTCATAGTAAATGTATTGTTTTAAAGTAGCATAACAAAACAAAACAAAATAATATGTAATTAATACTAGGTAATAATATTGTAATTGTGATACTGGGTAATAATAATACTGTAATACGGAGTAAAAAATTATTAAAAGGAAAAGATATCATTATTGAGGACTGCTTGCAAGAAAAAACTAACTCAAAAATAAGATGAAAAATTGTAGAGCTAATTCAGGACGGCCGCAATCAAAAACAAAAGATCAGAGAGTTGAAGATCGAGCTGAGAAAGCTAATTTGCGTGAAGGGCGGAAGACTTGAATGAATTGTGATGAAGAATGAAATTTGCTGGCCGTTGCTTGGGTTTTTATATCGGAGGTGGACGTGATGGATGAGTGTTGCTTCACTACTTAACAGCTGAGAGACTCATCTTTACTTCAAAACCGGCTCCTCTAGGGATGGAGGTAGGCCATCGCTGTCTCATCTCATTATTTCATTCACTTTAATTTACTACGTACTACTTTCCTCTCGTATTGGAGAGCCCATTTATCAACCAACTTTTCCGTCAAACACGTAACTTTTAGTTTCGCGTACTGAATTGTGTAATAAGCAGAAAAAGTAAGGTTGAAATTACTTTTCTGGCTGTATTGGCTTAAGTTACTGTAGATGATCATTTTAGGTATTTTTACATATAATTTTTTCTTTATTTTATTAATACACTATGTTTTAAAACTAATTTTTTCTTAAATCAGCAGAACCAGCCACTGCAGCCACTTCAACCAGAACTTCATAAATTTCAGCAGAAACAGCCAAAACAGCTGATTTTTATGCTACCAAACGGGCTCGTAAAATAGTCATTATTTTACACTTCTAGAGCCCGCTTTTTTAGGCTTATCAGGCTTTTCAGCCAGTTTTTTCACCAAACACGTAACTTTTGATTTCGCGCACTGGATTGTGTAATAAGCAGAAAAGTAAGGTTGGAGTTACTTTTCTGACTGTATTGACTGAAGTTATTGCAGAGGATCATTTTAGCTATTTTTCATATAATTTTTTGTTTTATTTATTAATAACAAATATTTTAATTTTTTTTTTTCATGAATCAGCAGAATCAGCCACTTTAGCCAGAACTTCATAAATTTCAGCAGAATCAGCCAATTCAGCCAATTCCAGTGTTACCCATTGTTCTAAAACTCGTTAGGCGCTAGTCGGGCGGTTGCGGGGCGCCTAGCGCCTAGGCGGCCGACTAGGCCGATTTTTTGGCCGACTAGGCCGATTTTTTGGCCGACTAGACCGACTAGGCCTCTACGGTTGGGGCCGACTAGGCCGCCTAGGCCGATTTTTAGAACAGTGGTGTTACCAAACGGCCTCCTAATCTCCAAAAGCAATAGAAAGTCCAATTTATTAGGGAAATAATGCTTCTTCCTTCCAAATTGATGATCATCTTTCTTTCGTATTCATTTAGTCAACACAAATCACTGTAAATCTTTTACTATATTCATCAAACTTTTATCAAAACTTTTGCAACTTTGTAAAAACTTTTAACGTAATTTTTGAATGTGTAAATTTTATTTACTAAAAATAATCTGAGTGTGGACAAGGATTTGTTAGCTTTATCTCGGTTATATCTCCTAAATCGCAATTGAAACATCAAATTGGTACGCGGGGAGTAATATTTTTTTTTGGACAAGTTAAAGGAGAAAGTGTAACGAGAGGGGGAGTATCTGCTACATAGTACTTCTGTTCGTAAATTATCTATAGTCAAAGCTTGTCATGTGACCAGTTGGATTTGTAATATACCATAGATATAGGATAGCTTATTGGCACCGAGTTCCTCCATTGGTGAAAGTTCAATTAATAGAGATGGGAAGAGGTAAAGTGTGTAAGACAAAATGGAAAGTCTTAGCACAAAAAGGAACAAATAAAAATAGAAGCGTTGAAAAGGGCTCTCAACGGCCTACAACCCCTAGTTCCTCAATCCCAATAACACCCTCCCCATCCATCACTATCATAATATCCCAATGACCTTATAGCTAGCAATAGCCTATAGGTACCCGGTTACTGTAAAAATTTAGTGTAAAAAACCATTCAAAGAAAATCATTGTGATACACAATTGTGGAGGTAGCTTAGGGGTTGGTTTGCAACTGTTTTTAAAAAAGCACTTCTCAGGTTTTGGCTTTAAAAAAACACTTATTTTCTCAAACACTACAACTTTAATTTTTCTCGGCTTCTGCGTCAAAAGTGCTTTGACTTTTTCTATTACACAAAAAACACTTATTTTACCAAACACTATTCACTTTTACTTTTCAAAATCACTTTTTTCTCAAAAACTATCAACTTTTATTTAATCACTTCTCCCCATTTCATTAAAAAAAGCATTTTTTTAAAAGCAGAAGCTATTGCAAACAGACCCTAGGGGTGGTGCTGGGCTCGGCTCGGCACACCATATTTCAAAAAATAAAAAAATATTAATATTATAACAAATTTACTGTACGTAAAAAGTCATTCTGAGAAAATCTTTGTATGTACCAGTTCAATATAATCAAAATCTTGTCCATATTGATACATGACGAGTATTAACGTGAATATATGGTCATACACTTGTATTAAACTTTTTAATTAATTCAATTTTTCATCACTATTACCGAGTACGGTACACCGGCCCCTTCACGGCGGCTTCACTATAGTACACGTAGTATATAAAAAGTGAGTAAAAAGCTATAGTTACCGGCCATTTTATTTACTATTACCTAAAATGAGCAAACACATAAGAAATAATTAATTACCATAAAGAAGAGAGAAATTATGATACAGCCGATGTGATGCATGGTCGCATGGAATTAAGCTGTACTATACACATTAAGTGTTCGGCAGAAGTAGCCATCAAATGAACATGATATGTTTAACTTTGCAAAAGAGATATACCTCTAACCTCCGTCACTTAACTTTGTCAAGTTTGACCGACACGTGAATTAATAAAGTAAAAACTGTGTGATTGAGGTTTGTGAAAATGAGATGTGAAAATGAGATAAAATTAACTGGAACCATAAATTATTTACTTAAGAGGGAAAGTGGCAAAGTTAGTGGGACATTCAAAAAAGGAAAGTTGGAAAAGTTTTGAGAGATGGATGGAGTAATTAATTACTCCCTCAGTCCCAAATTGTAAGATACATTTACTATTCACTTGGTCAACATAAATCACTTCTAAACTTTTATTTTATATATCAAAAGTTTATGAAGTTTGAATTATTTTTTGCAGGTTTTGTAGTGGATTTAATGTAGTTTTTTAATATGTAAATTTTATTTTCTAGAACTAATTTGGGTGTTGACAGGGATCAATTTGCTTTATCGTCAGTCAAACATCGTAAACCGAAATGTATCTTACAAATTGGGACGGAGGGAGTACTACGTACTGTATAGTCTATGGTCTTGTTTGGTTCAAAGGAGGGGATAGAAGGGGAGAGTCAAGGAGGGAAGGAAAGGGAAGGGAAATGAAGGATTTTGATAAAAATTCGTGTTTGGTGGGATGTAACGCCCGTAACTTTTATCTATTTCTTATGTGCTAATGTATTCTATATGGCCATGTTTTAACTTATGATTTGAGTGTGTGCTATATATGTGAGGTATAGGATTATCATGTGATTATGTACTTTGTGATAATTGTGTTTGAACTTACATATATACTTGTGATATGTTGATCATGACAGGCGACGGTACCCGATGAGCAACCAAACTACATCGTAATAATCAATTTTATTTTGAATGCAATGGTATATTAACTTAGTTTTCATGTTAGTTAGTAATTAGGTGTTAAAATGTAGTTTAAAATGTTATCAGGGGGTCAAGCTAAGGGTGTGATTGGCAACAATCGGGGTCGATTTAGGGCGAAAAAAGAGCGTTTTCTGGATTTTTCGGCACCCGATTGGCCTCAAACGGCGCCGGTTGGACCCAGACCGACGCCGGTCCAAACAGGTCTAAGGCATCTAAATCACAGCATAATCGGCGCCGTTCAGGGGCAAACCGGCGCCGATCCGGTCAGTTTTGGCAGGTCAGTCAAAAAATCGTTTTAAAGCTCAAAAAAACCCCTTTTGACCCCAAATCGATCCCAGCTCGCTCTTCTCTCTATAGACTAACCCTAAGCCCTTCCTAAAGTGATTCAAGGCCAAATTAAACATCTTTCTTCATCAAAGATCATCACTTGATAAGATTTATACTATACATGAAGAATTTCTTCCCTGGTTTGATCTATGGTTCTTGTTTTTGGGTTAAACAAGGGTTAATTGATTTTAGGTGGATTCTTAGAAACTTAATGGATTTTTGTTATTAAAATGATTTTGAAGTTGTTGTTCAGCTTGAGTTTAACAAACTTCAATTTATTCTTGAATAATTAGTTAGCCCGAAATTGATACAAAATTGATGAAAGAAATTGGGGAAAACTTCTTCCTAGGTATGGACTGATTTTAAATAGATACATATATAGAACCCTTGATAGCATGATTATGGGTTAGTTGTTTTTTATTCTTGGGTCTAAGATTGATACATCTGTAATTTCCGTGTGTTTATTTACGTTTTTAGTTAGTTTTGGTTGTTTAATATTTCGGAAATTACACACTTTCGGTGTAATAGTTTAGTTTGTTAAATTCTTGTAAATTGTTTAGATTAGGTTTATTCTGAGCTTAAACAGGTCCAAGATCAATCAAATGATCAATGGTGAAGGAAGGTGCAAGAGTACAAGACAAAAAGAAGGAAAGTTCCTGATTTTGACCTATACTCGATCGAGTATACCTTATACTCGATCGAGTACCAATACTGATTTTCAATGATTCGATCCGGGAACAAATGAACATGCAAGGAAAGATTTGGCCACGTTCTATTGTCATACCCGATCGAGTACACCGACATACTCGATCGGGTATAGCTATAAAATATACCCGAATATCGATCGAGTATGGATCGAATTCGAAGTTCTACACATACTCGATCGAGTATATGTACATACTCGATCGAGTACTCGACCTGCACCTCAAAAAGCCTATAAATACACCTCCTTTCCTTCACTTTAAACAATCAATTCATATATACTCTTAAGTTCAGTTTAGAATAGTATTTCTTTTATATTTTTATAGCATGTTTAGTCTCCAAATGAGGAGCTAAACTTCCATTTCTTGGTATTGCTCTTGAAGCTTATTGATTATTAAAGTTGTGAGTTATTTTCTTAACTTCTTCCCTTGAATATTAATTATTCTCTTAATCTATCTATATATTAATGTTGGGGAGTGTTACTAAGATGACAATTAGATAACATCTTGACTAATTATAGTAGTATTTATTTTCTTCCTCTATATATTAATGTTGGGGAGTGTTACTAAGATGACAATTAGATAACATCTTGACATTAGTTATAGTAGGATTATTCATATTTAATCTTCTTCCTTGAATATTAATTCTTCCCTTAATCTATCTCTATGTTAATGT